CCAGTCCTTTCTGATTGTGCTTAGGGACAGCTAGATGGTACCTGTAGCGTGTGCTTGAAACTAAGGGCCACGTGAGTGAGGGGCGAGGAGGGAAGGGTTGGTGGTGAAGACCGCAGGCTGCGCACCGGCCTGGGGTCGCAGCTCAGAAGAGCAGAGCTCTCTGGGGCGTCCAGAAGTTCTCTGCACACCTTCCATAAAGCCTCTGTCCCGGACGCCTCGCTCCTGACTCTCAGAATATACAGACGCCCATAGGACGTAATTAATCTCTGAACATTGCTCAGGCGCAAAATGGAGCAGAAAAGGACACACACCCAAAAAATAGAGTCATAAAGACAATATGTAACTTTCATTGTTAAGGCAAAGACGGGCATGAAAAGAACAGAAAGTAAGAATCACTTGGAATGCCATTTAACTGCATTAAATATATATATATATATGACTTGTAATTCTAAAAATTGGGTTGCTTTACTCATGTATGCACTCATGTGGGACCACATCACACATCACAAAGACACCAGTTCAGGCCTTATTGCAGCCTTTAGGCTGATTTGACTTATGTATCAGGAAGGAGAAGGAACCTGAAAGAAGGTGTGAAAGGCATTTTCCTGGCACTGTGTAGCTGAGTGCCCGAGAGTGTGGCACCACTGCCAATGAAGGTGATTCTGGAGTTATTAACTTATCCCTACATTCCACATTTGCCTTCTCTCCAAATATGTGTAAAAAAACAGTGTTACAGCATTTTCTGTGTTTTCACAGCTGTTGTTACTGGGATCTATACAGTGAACAGAGAGGAACACAGATTTATAAATTTGGAAGCTTTTCCCATGCCTAAGTCAGTCTACCCTATGAAGTCAGGGGTTTCTTTTTAAAATTAGCTTCTGCCCCATATTATAAAAAATGGAGAGGACTATAAATTTCTCTTAATTTAGGTGGCCTTATGTGAAATACTTTGATCTCTATCTCTTGCCAAGTTGTGCCATTTTGCGTAGGAATGAGTTGTTCACTTCGTGGGTCAAGATTAGTCTTGAATTTAGAAGATAAGAAGAATACTTACGGTTCCCCCCCACCTTGAATGTTTTCATGAGTAAATACAGGACGCTGTGGCTGAAATGAAATGATTTTCAATGTAATCAATGTTTAAACTGGTACTAATTAAAAGATAATTTGGATAATGGCATGGTACTTTTATTGACATTTAATATTTCCTGTTGTAAAAAACCAAGAGGAAGGGGGAAAAAAAAAAAACAAAGGATTTCTGCAAGTTTAATAATTAAAATATTTTGAAGGGGGCTTTAAATTAAATCAAAGCAACCATGGTTTAAATAATTTGAACACATCTACAGTCTCAACTGCTCAAACTTTAAGGAAGAGTCGGGGCTTAGTCCCATTGATTTTTCAAAGTCCAGGAATATGGCAAGAATGTAGACACCGAACCAACTAGAATGGGAAAGATGGACACCTTCAAACAACCGTATTCTTCAGTATTTTCTCAAACAAGCAGAAAATAAACCACATTGAAACTAACAGCAAAGGGTCCACATTCATTCTAATATACTTTTCCTTCACAGACAACATTTGCACATACAGTACAGATGAAATATCATATGGATAGACATCCATGCTACATTTGAGTTAACACTCTTTGTTCTCAAGGTGGGGGAAACACATGCATTTTTAAAAAGTGGAAACAGAACTTTAAGTAGAATACAACAAACAATATCCAGGTAACATGTAACATTTTACCTTCGAAGAGAAATATTGGTAGAAATCCCCAGTGCACTGAACTCTCAAAAGAGTTTCTTTTCTTTTTAAACTAAGCATCAAGACCAGTATCTGTAATAGATACTCATAATATTGGAAATGACCAGCCTTAGCATCCTATATAACCACATAAATATTGCAATGAATGAACGTTAACACATTTGTTTATATGTGAACTCAAGGTAGTTTACAACACCTGTCTAAATTCCAACTTCTAGGGGGGAAAAGCATTGCAACTAATTCATAACACATTTCAAAAGCATTCTCTTCAAAATGAAGACTGCATGGAAGAATAAGAGAATCAGAGTTCAGAATTTACATGATTGTTAAATTGGTTATAAGATCCTTATCTTTGGACTTCAGGCCAATTCCTGGATGCCAGATCAACTGACAGATTTCTGGGAGGCTAGGGAGGCATTTTCCTAGGTAAACTGTCCTTTGGAGCCTCACCTGTCCATGACTTGATGGGAAGCTCTGGGTTCTTTTCAATTCCAAAGTCAATCATCTGTTCCCATCCCAGATTCTTTATCTACTCTTTTACCATGCAGGCTGTCTGTCTAGAATGTGAAGACTAGTTACTGAGGTCACTGAAAGTTTAAGTTTTGAATCTATATATATAGGTAGTTACTGCCAGTGTTCCCAGAAATTTCACTTAGCAGTTTGTGCATGGAATAAATAAGACTAAAGAGTAGATGGAAATGGAGACGGTGTATCTTGAGTATACAATCTGGCGCTTACAGATCAATATAAATGTACCCACTATTAAAATGATAAAATATGCTATTTTAAGAATGATGCACGAAACTGATTTTCAGACTTTTTAAGGTCATTCAATTCAACATATTATTAGATCAGCTTAAATACATAAAAAGAGGTAAGAAGAAGTCATCCACAAGTCTACACACTAATATATTTCAAGTTCTCATCCAATAACATGTATAACTTTTATGATGGGATCAGATTTGCACATCTATTGATAGTTTGTAGTAATTTTCCAGTCATTTTTCATCTTCTTTTCTGCTTTAAATCACCGCAGGATAAAATACCCTCATATATGTGCGCATAGTTAATTCTCTGAACTATCCTTTTTTTTAGAAGTTAAGATTGGTTTAGCCTTTTTTCACTCACAACTTATATTATTGTAGGCACTTGTATAGAAAAAGCTATTTTTTTTTCCTTTTGAACTATTCCTTGGAATGCATTTCGAGGGGAAAAATTTCTGGTTAAAGATAATACATCCAAGCCACATGATTTTCAAAATGCTTTTGTAAGTCAGTCCAAAATACTGTTATAAAAATGTAATTAAAAAAAAATCTAAAATGCGTGTTGTAAATCACAAACCAAGATAGTAACTATTCTCTCACAAAACACATAGTACCATGTACAGTGCAAAATAGCATTATGAAGAAGAAAGAGCCCTTGCTCTGTCTTAGGAAAAAAAGTTTTATAAAATATATTTTATTATGTTCTAAAGATGTGTGCCTATTTCCACATACTTAAGTCATCCTAATTTTTTAAAAAGATTTATTTATTTATGCTTACAGAACTGGGGTACAGGCCACAGGTGTGGTGGGTGAGAGGATTCACCAGAGACAGGCAGGTCTACTGAAATACACTGCTGAGGGGAACAGCAGGTGGGTCAGGAGAGGTCTGTCATGACATGTGGGTCAGCTCCCTGGACCGGGACTGAACTCATGCTGCAGTGGCTTTGGAGAACTTCATAATGGGGTGCTTTAACCCGTTGCACCATCAGGGATTGCATTCCTAATGTTTTTAAATTGACTGAAAGCTTTAATTTTATGTTGTGGCATCCAAGGCTTTTAAAACGGGTTGGCCTAATTCCATTGTTGCCTTGTTACAATGTGAATACAATTTCAGGAAGCAGAGTGCTCCTTAATATAAAACACTATACCTTCAAATTCAGTTGAGCACACTTTTATTGTCGTTATAATTCTACCACTTTAATCCTTTCAATTCAACCTACCTCATAAATCATTTCAAAGAACTATCCTTCTGACAAAACTGGCCTATTGCTAGAAGATTGTGGTCCCCTCAGTCCTCAGGCTTCTGTGTCTCACGAACGTGTGTGCCCAGGTGTGCCAGCCAGGAATGGCCTTGGTTTTCGATTTTCACTACTTTTCCTATCCTTTTTTTCTTCCTATCCTTAAAAAGAACTTCTCCCTGCTTTTTCTTTTGAATCACTAGTTTTCTACAGTGTTCATAGACTCAGCCTAGAGTTTACTGCAGCTTCTAAAAACATGATAATGTGGGTTCAGGAACCATTTCCATGTGAATGTAGGTCAACTGGAACCACTTTTTGAGGAAAGATGACCTATTACAATATTTGAACTAATTCATTTTAGATATTTGGCTGCAGCTGGCTTGCAAGCAACTTACTTTAGGAGACCTTTTGCCTATCACTTGGTGTTAAAACTAGTGAAGGACCAGAGGGATTTTGTAACTTGTCTACACTCGATTGCCACCTAATGGCGAGAGATGGCGGCAACATGCAAAAAGTTGTTTATTGGTTAGCTCTCACCAAGATCCTTCTGCTTGGATTCATTTCCAAGGACATTTAAAGACCACGGAGCTACGTGGAATAGATCACCATCTGTTTTTCTGACCATTTATTTCCGCCCCAAGTTTTAAACGCTTGAGAAAGGGTCAGGCTTCAGCCACCAATATTGTTGGTTTATGCTTCATTTCTATTTTAACTAGCTGCTCAGACATTTCTATTACTCAGAACTTCTTAGCAATTTTGTGCTTAAATATGGGACAATATCCTTGACATTCAGAGAGGCCCACATGAACTGTGAATTTAAGAGGAGGGCTTCTAGAGTTTTAGAGTTAAGTCAATTTTATCCCTTTAAAAATGGAGGTATAATATTTGCCAACCAGAATCAGATGAAATGCGGCTAACAGTTCCATGGTTTATAAGCCTCTTTTCCCTTCTTAAATTATTAAGATAAAAATTATTCAGATAAAAAATCTGAAGAATATAAGGTATTTGTGTCACACGTACATATGCGATCTCACATACAAATACAGAATGTAAACATCTGGGAAGAAAACTTTAAGGGGATGAGGCATACCATCGGGGAATTTTGGATGGGGGAGATTCATTGTGGAAAATACTGTTTTTTGGAAAGAACTGTTTGGTTCTGGAAGGCTTGTCAATGGAGTCTTGGAATCTCATCAGATTAGTATTTCTCTCTCTCTATGGCAACTCAAATCTCTGTCTCAGAAACAAAATGAGGTCTTATTGTGCAAAACAAAAAGGCACAAAAATGATAAAAATGCAGAGAAGTAGCTACATTTTAAAAATCAGAAAAGAAGCCTCCTTTGCAGCGGGGCCCCAACAAGCCTAAAGAATTGCAGTCGTATGACCACCAGTGCAGCTTAAACCGGGGTCCACAAGACAGAAATGGAGAAGGATGGATTTGGATAGAGATGACAATTCCCAACGTCAGGGTATCTCTGGTGGCACAAGGGGTTGGGTCAAGGCACTATGAGGTGGTCAGCAGCCACTGCAGCATGAGTTCAATCCCTGGCCAGGGAGCTGACCCACATGGCGCAGCAGACCTCTCCTGACAGCCAGCGGCTCCCCTCAGCAGTGTAGTTCAGTAGATCTGCTGTTCTGCTCCCCACTCTGTCTCTGGTGAATCCTCCCACTGCCACCCTGCCCTCCTACACCTCTGGCCTGCACCCAGCTCTTGTATGCATAAATAAGTAAATCTTGAAAAAAAAAATCCCCAACCTCCTTAGCTGCCTTCCTCAGAAACGACAGCATCATCTAGAATCCATTCATTTCCAACTGTTGTAGATGTCACAGAGTTGGGCAGTGATAGAGACAGTGTCGGGATCTTTAATTCCAATCATCACTACTAAGACACAGTGACTACCTCGAGTCAAAGACCATGGCGTGGGACTGAAAGGGGTCCTGGAGGGAAAGGCACCCATTATTGGGCAACAAGATACTTTATAGCAAGAGTCATTTTATTTTAAAAATAAAATCCAAATGAACCAAACCGCACTGCTGGAGGTGTGGGCACAGAGCACATGACTGCTGCCAGTTTAATTCTTTGCTCTGAAACAATGAGCTCACAGCGACTTATAGGAACATTTGCCTAGAAGCAGGAGGCAGATGTAGAAAGCAGCACAGAACACACCTTCTGTGAATCATCGCGCTTTTGCTCACGTCTTTTTTGGATTTGGGGGAACCGGCACACACACACACACACACACACACACACACACAATGCGGCGCACTGCAAGAAGAGGCGGGCAGGATATGCGCATGGGTCTGATTTCAAAGCCCATCGTCTGCTGGACACTTATCTCGA